TGTGGATGACTGCATAATGTGCCTGCCAAAAGACAAAATTCAATATACACTAGATAAGTTTAATGCCTTTCATGACACCCTAAAGTTTACTCTGGAAGAAGATAAAGACAATTCTATAAACTTTCTAGACCTAACAATTAATTATGATAACAACGGGGAAATCAAAACAAATTGGTACACAAAGGAGGTATGGTCTAGTAGGTACCTGAATTATCGAACGCTCCAATGAAATATAAAAAAAGTGTAATAACGGCATTTACAGATAGAGCCATTGTCACATTGGGAGTATAGAACAAAAAATTTTGAAAAAATAAAAAATATATTATTAATAAACAACTATCCAAGGTAATTTTTCGAACCAGTCATAAAGCAAGGGATAAATAAAATATACAATTCAACTAAATGGAAAAACATAAATAAAAGAATAGAAGGTGATATCAAGTATATATCATTACCATATATTCCGGAAATTAACACAAAAATAAAAAATATATTCAAACCACATAATATCAACATCAATCGGATCGGATTCAGATCGGATACCGACAATCTTAGCTCAGTATATCATACATTAATTAAATGAAATAAACATAAAATATTAACTAACACCCAGTATATTGAAGAATTTTGCAAATCAAAAATAATATTCTCAGAATGCAAAGAAAAATAGCTGAAAGTAAAAGAAATCAATATAAACAGTATTTTATTCGCTTTGTGTCCAATAATGGACAAAATTAATACTTCAAATGCATGCCAAGGCTTAAAGCAGCAACAACGCTACACATGTAAGGAAAAATTTTTAAGTATCTGAACGATGAATTCTAGTCTCTTCCAAAATTTGATTGTCCTGACTAATCACCTGTTAGGCCTAATTAATTTTAGAATGTTTTAAAGTATTGCAATTATGATGTATTTTAATGTGTGATCTGATGAGGCTGTTGACGAACTGTGGTTGTTTTTTAAATTAATGAAAAATTTTGTTTAAACTATCTGTTATTTTAGAAAAACTGATGATCATGGAAAAATACACCGAAACGTATTTTGATTGATAAATAGAGACAATAAATGACTGAAATCCAGGGATGAATTTGATTTGGGATTATCAAGATTAATGGTCGAAGCAAAAGGGGTTTTTGAGTTCCCGTCAGGAAGACCTTTTTTCCTTATTCAATGCCTCTCGAATAAATTCAAAACCGCCGCTTTAAGATTATCTCTTGACGTTGCGACGTTGAATCAAGTTCATCAGCGTGAAAAGACTTCTATATCACAGTCTTCCTAATTCACGTGGCACCAGAAAATCGAAAAGTGCTCATGACACATGAAATCAGCTCTGTAGCCAATGAGTATCAAAGTACAATGGAAAGTAGGAAAGATTTGAAAGATCGTGTAACTGCGGCATATCAACAAATTCACCGAAGAGAAATTCAAATAGCAACAATCCCATATTTTAGAGAGTCGGTCTTGATAGATCGCGAACACAATGCCTAGGTGTGGATCGATAGCATTAAACCATCTTAATTATTTGACACCAAAAATATCATCACAGCTTTTCCCTAAAATAAACCGTTACTGTGTTTTAGAAGGATGTTAGTTTTTTGTTTTTCTACAAATTGGAATTGGCCCAAACTAGGTATATTATCGTAAAACCCTTTCATATAAAGAATGAGTTGGGTTTCTGCCAGCCCCTATAAAATGTGGGATGCTTCATTGAAAATTCCTGGGTAACATGCAATTTAATGTCCACAAAAAAGCGCATTCTTTTGCAAATACCTGGTGTGCGATTATTGGATTCTACCGCTGGATCTAATAGTATCAGTAACGTAGCTGTTTAGCTAAGCAGATTTCAAAACTGTGGAAACATACAAATGCGATATATTAAAAGTGTTATTTTTATATTTTCAATTTCAATACATTTTTTAAATGTCTGCCAAACCTTTTGCGTTTTTGGTTAATAAAAACTTTAACTTTTTGTGTTAGTGTTTGGGTTTATTAAGTAGCACAGCAAAAAACAATAAGTAAAAATTGATTTAATGATCAATTGCTCCTTCTGCCTACGCTGTTTACAGTATATTCTTAATTACTAAATTGTGACTGTAGCAATTAGAAACGTCGATCGGAAAACAAAGCGGGAGTATCGCTTCTCTGGTCAAAAGCTCCGCTTGCAAAGCTTTTTCTCGAAAAATGACTTTATAATCGTCGAAGTGTGGCGGCCGTTTTCAATTTTATCTGTAACTTAATTAAAACATTAAAATCAAAAACCTTTGCATTTAACACTTTTTACATAATCTCAAAGTAACCGTTAAAGTGGCAAAAAACTGATTTTTGATTTGAATGAATCTAAAAGTGCCATTTTTCGATCAGAAGCGATGATCATAAAGAAGCACTTTTTTTACTGTTCATTTGTTTACATGTGGGCAAAAGTAAATGTGACAAATTGAACGTATCACTGTCATTATATTTTTTAAAGGATTTTCATATTCGAAGTAACCGACATGCTTTTTTAATTAATCACGTACGTTTATCGACAACTATTGATCATAATTTAAAGTTTACTTACGACTTGTAAGTATAACTTTCTTACGAGTTCAGTGTCAAAGTCACTCTAATGGTCTATTTTTCTGCGCTTTCCGATGTTGCCACAAGAAAACACGATTTTTGTAAATAGCACAAATTTTATAGAAAATAAGCAACTTATACAAACACCATACCGTGAAAGCAGCACTTGAATTTTCAACACTCATTGTTCCACTTGTGTATGTTTACAAAAGTACGCTTTTGAAAAATTACAAACGCCAAACATGACAATTTCAAAAATGACATTGACATGAGATTTAAAATATGAAGTTGATGCCTTTTATTTTTGGTTATTCTTATTTATTATAACTTATGATTCGTGTTATGTTTTTCATTCGAATAAAAAATGTTGTTCGTTACGAGGGCGAAAAGTCGTTTTTCGAACGAGGACAGCGTTTGACAATATTGAGTTTAAAACACGTATATTGGCTATTTACTGGATAGAATAGAATTGCAGATAAGATCTACATCTCCTTCTGAAACACCCTGTCGATCTACTAATATTTTTATCAATAACCAATACAAAAGAAATGTATTCGGCGCACCTCAAAATGGGTTTGCAAATTTAAACAGGCTGATAATGCAGAAATATATCTATGAGATGTGGACAGTTGAAATATCTGAATCTATGGATACAAAATTAACTCTCCATAATATACAGCAGGCTCATAATCAGATTATTGAAAACATATCGCAATGCATCTGCAACCTTAAACTGAACCAGACGAGATCCAAACAAACCTATAGTTGCATAAGGTGAAAGGAACTATTAACGGTTTAAAGGGACTGTAAATGAGAACTGTTTACGTTTTTGACCGTGCAAGCAACACCCTGTTAATTCCTCCATTAAACTCCACTCATCTCAGGAATATTTTGAATTCCATAATAAAAGAAATGTGTGTCGTAATGCTCTCTAGTTGAAGCAAAAATATTTCTATCAAAGAAAGTTTTTGCTGTTGTTGTTGTTGTTGTTGTTGTCTAGGGTCAATATTAGCAAATCTAAAGGCTGATTGAGAACAAAAAAACCTTACCACATCAATCAGCTGGGAGAGTTTCAATTTAATACACACGCGGAGCACGTCGGAAGTGTTCACCACGGGTCGCACCAATTTATTATAGTTGCTGAGGAGGTCATCGTAGAGCCTCTTCGCGTCCGGATTAGCGTCCACTAAGGGTCCGTAAAAGAGAGTCGCGACGCACAAAAAAACCGTGGCCAAAGAGGCCATCGTACGTGGTGCACGGGGTCCTGAAGATGCGGCACCGCACACCGCCTCATCCGCCCAAAACACTACTGAACTGTGGAGGCGGCGCCGGAGACTGCACCGGGTTAGATGTTACGAAGGAAGCGCGAGAGTACAGGGAACAGGCCGGAAGTTAAGAAGGAAACTCGCTTTTTGCGAGACCTCAGGCAGTTTCGCTTTTCATGTATAGATCTGTCCAGGCTTAGACAAACTCCTGAGGCTCTCCGGGAATTATAAAGACATAATACAATTAATTGATAAGCAACACCATAACATAGAAATAAGGAAAATCGACAAAATGTGTAAGACACGGATTTTGAATTGTCCATTAAGTACTTAAATATTTGAAATCAATTAGAAATGCCGAAAGCTTAAAGGCAATTTTTGCCATAACACTTATCAACGCTGGAGAAAACTCCCATACAATTATACTTTTTACAACAATTTGAGATAGAACCAATCAACTCACTTGATGCAAATTTCTGTGAGAAAATGGAAACCGATCAAAATCTTAACGAAGTTCGTAACAATCTTCTAAAGGCTAATTTAAAAATCATTCGTCTCAACCACAGTAATCAAGAAGACAAAGAAGATATTCAAAATTTATGTTTGAAATACAAATATATTTTCTATTGTAAAATGGACAGTTCACTTTCACAAATGAAATTTGTCGCAAAATTCTTTTGAAAAATGAAAACCCAATTTTTACAAAAAGCTATCGATATCCTGAATTCATAAATAAAGGCGAGTACGCCAGATTATCTGTTATCTGATGAAAGATTAGTTAGTTAGTTAGATTAGTAGAAAGTTTTCAATTCGGAGTTGACCTTTATTGTTTATTCATGTATAGTATCAGTTTTTTGAGGATTAATGAGTAGAAAAGGGAGGATGGGGTGCCCGCTTGCAGAAAGCCGTTAAACGTGATTTCTGATCTATAAATCCTTTAGCTTGACCTGAGCTTAGTGTTTGGAGAAGCAACTGATGGCATTCTTTATTTCCTCTGTTAATTTAAGCTAATTAAAATTTTGACTAAGTTTCTACTAAAGAATGTTTTTCTTTTCTTCCAGGTGGCACGATGCAGCTTCGGTAAGTTTGGAATTACTTTGCCCCTGGTTGTCATGTAGATGTAGAGCTTTTAGGCCCATTTTATTGATTTGTATTTTATATAACGAGGCGGTTATGGATTCTGCATTGAGTTTTGAAATTTTTCAGATTTTATTTCTGTAAAATTAATTTAAACTTAGATATTATACGGTAACGAATGAGACTCTCTACATAAGACACTTTTGATATTTCAAACTATTAATTTTCTGTTCTGAACTATACTTTTTATTGTTTTGGCAGGTAATTTGCGTCTTTTGTAAGTGTTTTCTTCTTTAAATTACACCCTGAATTCAATTGTTCTTCAAATCAACATTTCAATACATGTTTTGAACAAAACTGGTTTGATTTAGACACTTTATGTGGATGTTTGGGTTAATTTGTTTAGTTTGGGAATTCAACTATCTCAACCAAAACAAGGAAAAATCGTAAACTTTCGAACTGCGAAGTGGTTGAAAAGGAYATTTTCGGTAGAAATTGTTAGTAGAGGAATTTATAGTTAGAAGAAAGARGTAGTAAGTAAGTAAGTTTTTATTTTCGAAATCCAGAGGGGCTCAAACTAGATAATTARGTAATTTTTCTTCTGCAAATTACACTMTAAATTAAACGGTTCTTGTTTCACATGAAGGATARCAAGTGTTCCCAAAATTTKAATTAATATCWYTCAGCTTTTCAACATTAATCAGTCAGGTTCTCCGCAGTAGTTTGTTTTTAAAGTAAACTTAGTAAACTTTTTAAAGTAAAGAAAGRCACTKTAATGGCCCATTTTAGCGAACAAAATTATTCGATTGAATTTTGTAATGATCCTCCTTTGACATTTAGCTGCAACTAAATATTACTTTACCATGTACACACAAAGAAAGACACTTAGACCAAAACCACAATTTAAAAAACTCTGYGGGYAAAAAATAATACTCTTTCRAAAATTCGGCTACTCGGCCTTAAATGCACTGGCATGCATGCACAAGTTTTTTCTGACAAAATATTGAGCATATTTTGYTTGGAAAATSRTCTATACGRCTATATAGTCTTCAWAAATGTCAGCTTTTCCAATTAATATTAATTTCTCTAAAAAGATTGCACACTGAGTTCAAACTTGTTTTACTCTCTTGCTGTTGCCGCTATMCAATTTGARACTGGAATAGTTTTTAAAGCTACTTYTTTGAGATTTTTGGGCGTTTGAAATATTGTCAACACTTGCGGAGTTWTSTGTAAATAAGTGTGCAAACAATGTGGGTGGCAGTTTAAGTCTCTAACTTCARATTCCATTTTCTCTGAAACTAGATACGAAACATGTTATGAGAAGTAGCATTTTGGTCTAATATYGACTCTTATGTGAAAAATTTGCMCATTTGCMATTTTCAAAATGTTCGAAAATTTTTAGAATTTTGGAAAAAAATKARTCTRTGGGCTTCTTAAGAGTTTTTGAAYTTCTGAAWAATGTTGATAACTGACCGAGTTACAGGGTAAAGARTGGAAGTATGTGTAAGTTTGAGAGTTTTGAGCTTGTCAATATTCAGATCCTTCCAAACTGTGGTAAATACAATTGATTGGAAACATCTCGGTAGGAAAATAAAAGTCCGAATCAAACATTTAAAATATATTTACTTTATGGCATTATTAAAAATTAAATATTTTATAAACAATGATTTCTGAAAACTAATGTATTACTTGATTGCACAATTCATTATTAGATATTTACCATTGCTCTTCGTATAGATGCCTAGACACTTTCCTTAGTTGTTAATACATATTTTTTTAAATCAAAACACTATTTTATTTTAGCATAACTTAATTAATCAGTTATCAAAATAAGTGATCTTATATCCAAATTTTAGTATTATTGTATTGGTTAATTACATCAATGAAAGCTTTGGCAACACAACTGAGGTCATTTAGCAACGAGAAGAGAGTGTACTTCATCAGACAATTATTTGCTAATAATCACGATAATTTCAATGCAAAAACTGGAAATTAATTTGCTAAAAGTTTTTCCTATAGCAGATAGTGTATAACAACTAAAAGTACATAACAACTTCAAAATATTCGAAGTAAGACCCGGCAGGATGTCAATGTTATGCCTTTTAGTTCGTAAGTAGGTACATCAAAACTCGATAAATCAAGTCTAACAACTTTCCAGAATTAGCCTATGGTGTCGATTTCAGAAAATTGCTGATGATGTATTGCTGATGAAAAACTCATATTTTGGCTTCACGTGCTAAACCCTCAGGTAAATAACTGCTAATATCCAAATGAGATTGCCGACTCGTTAACATACACGCTAAGAAACTAAGCTTACAATTCGATGTGTCGTTGCATAATCTTCGTTTCGATATCTAGATGTATTTTATCCACCTTTCTGGCTTGCTTCTTGATATTGTCCTCCATCATTTTTTGTCCGTTAGACTTTTCTCCAGAAAACTTTTGCTTTTTGTTGTACTTGGCTTCATTTAAGGCGTGCTCCACTTGCATGTGTCTCAATTTCAGTAATCTGAATTAAGCAAAACAAATAAAAACTACTTGACAAAATGAGCGTGAAGCGTATGTCCCATGTATCAGTTTATATGATGAGACGAAAGTGTTTCTATTGGTTGGGTGATCTGCCAATTCGTTCGTCGACGTACCAAGTTGTAAATACGACGACCGTATGATTTTTAACCTCACATTCATTCATGTTTATATATTAGATTTTATGCTGAATTTATTGTAAGTATTTTAGACGATCACGACAAAACAGGATTAACAAAGTGCTTCTGTTTTTATTATTATGATTTAGGCAAACCAAGGAAAGTTAAAGGGACAAAGATTTTGAGTTCCAGGCAGATTTCATCGACAAACAAAACATCTTATGGTTTCTGTGATTCCTATCGAAAAACAAACATTAAATGTACTACATATCAGTATTACCTGTTTTCATAATGGAATAGCTCCGACTTTAATGACTGAAGCTCCGCAGTTGAAAAATTACTTTGAACAGCAATTCTCCACAATCCTGAAAAATAGGCAATTTTAAAATATGAATTTTAAATAATTTGAAACCTGATAAAAAAATATAATTTTAATTAAAATATATAGGCATAAAAAAATATGAAAAATATATAAGGTATATTAAACGGTATTCAATGAAAATATAGTAAAAGGAGCATTTCAAACATGAAGTTAACCATTGAAAAAAGCACACACTGTACTATCAATGTTTACAACAGTTTGATTATTATTATTAGATGACACTGATGAAATTATCAATATTAGTTTCCAACATAATCATAAAATTGATCTATTTTGTAGACTAAACTAAAAAAAGACGAAAATAACGTAGCGCGTGCATGGTTAGAACCTGTATGAAATTACTTGCAAAAATGTTACTTACCTTGCACTTTTGGTTCTACAAATTCTTTGCTAGCGGGTCCCGAACCAGACAACTTATCTAGATGATCGAAACCTTCCTTGATTTGCTTGTGGTGTTCTCTAATAAGATTAACCTGTAAATAAAATAAAGTTTTTTGATTTTGCTTCAAGCAGTTTGCAAACCAATAATTACATGATCTAAATGATCCTTATTGGGTTCTTTCTCTTCTAATATTTCTATTGCATTATATTTATCCAAAGATTCGTCAAGAGAATCTACAATAAAATGATTCACATTAGTAAACATACATTTAAAAAAGGGTTCTTAAAAGGAAATACACGGTTGTAAATGTAATATTTACTTTGTTCTCTCTCTTGAACTTGATCTTTGGGGTCACCCTTAACTCTATGCAACAAAGCATAATATTGATCAATTTTATCTTGATGATGAGTGAATTCTTCTTGAAGTGCGTCAAGTTCATCTTTACTAAAACCTGCAATTGTTGCTTTTTCCCAAAGTTTGTTCAATTTTTTATCTTTAAAAATGCTCCTGTTAATGTGCTTGTCTGATGCCTCATTGAGCGCCTGTTTAAATAAGTTGATTGAAATA